ATCCTAAATATTGGACCATACTTTCCTTCCAGCAAACAAAAGAGGCACAATGGGTGTCATTGAAACACTTTGCATATACTGGTGGGAAATCAAGCACAGAGGTCGCTTAAAGGATGAATGGGATACAAAACAGAAGTCAAAAGAGGAGAGATGCAGAAGGGACAGGAGGAGAACTCCCTGCATAGCCCACATCCGTAGGTATGCTGACACCCCCTTTGTCTTCCTCTTCCAGTCAGGGGATAACCAAGCACTCCTCAACTGCTGTGGTGTAGACCGCAAGGTCTTCAAGGATCTTCTTGAGCTGTTTCCTCCAGATTTCAACAGATACTCAGCAGTAAACACCAACAAGAACAATGAGATTGTTCTTCTTCCTCCCACCACTAGGAGTGGAAAAAAGAAGGGAAAGCCAGCAAGGGAKGCAGACGCTAGTACTTGTTGTCTTGGACTAGTGCTCTTCTGGTACAGGACTAGGGGATCTGTTGCAAGGAGGAATAGTAGCATAAGGACCAGTACAAGCAGGCRGCATCTTGGCTTCTSGAATGAATATTGTGTGAGGSATTTCCCCCCTCCTTGCTGTCTCTGATACAAGGCCTCCAGCAGTTGGGCCTCTCTTTGTTTCAATCWAAGATATAGAGTAGCCACTAAMAAGACAGGGGACATCATTGTTTGTCTTTTATGGCRCCGGCRCTTTCTTTAAGAGAAGGKTTAGTTAYGTAGTAAAAATTTAGTCAAGTCTTAAATTTGGCGGGTCTTTTCAGTTGAGTCCTACAACRGATTTTGATTCTTGGATTCCAGTCTAGATTTAGACTTTCTGTAGAGTGGTGAATCTAGTGTTGACAGAAAGTCAAAAAATTGAGACTACTAGATGGTATATTTTGGTCTGTCTGTCTGTCTGTCTGTCTGTCTGTCTGTCAAAAAGTAGACCATCTAGATAAACGGGAATGACTAAATACCTCTACTACCGTACAGTAATCATCATGAATGGGCAGAATTCTCGTTTTCTGAACAATGAGGAGGATAGTAACGCTCAGGCAAGATAAACACCTATAAAAGTGCAGACCATATCTTCAATCTTCAGGGAAGTTCAGTATCAACAATTTTACCACGTACCTTTGCTACYATGGTAGACCTGTTACTGGAATGGAACTAGTACTASTAGGTGCCACTTAAGACACTACTTCTTAGACCCATTTGAACAGTCCCACAAACTAAGTATGAAATTTGATACTCAAGAAAGCCATTGATAGTGATGACGACAATCTTACAGAACTTGTTGAAAGATCCCTCCACATCAAGGAACCAGTTCAGTGGGTTAGTGGATCCCTATCCTATCCAATCCTTTCCTGTGGTAGATGAGATGCATTTGATCACAACAATACTGATAATACAACATCCCTCTGCTTGACGAGGATGCTTATCCACACTGGTACACAGGAGTCTGACTTCAGGCTCTCCTGGGTCAATAAGAGGATCTTTCAAGTCGCATACAAGTGGCCTAGCTTCATGYAGAGATGTATGATGCAGACTGATTTGGATGTGACAACAACAAAGGATGGAAGAACATTCCAAACATTTCCAGCCAGACATGCTTTGTATACAAGCATGGGCAAGACAGCAAAGAAGCTCAAGGATGATGRTGGCTTCATCTGGTCTGAAGGCTTCTTCAAATTCAAGAATGATATGGATACTTCTATCTATGTTGCTGAATTCCTAACTACTATTAACATAAGTGTAAATGGCAAAGATAATGATGGAAACATCCTCCAAATTCAATTCAAGCAGGAAAGGGATGAGGATGAATCAAAACTTCCAGCAAGCTTCCAGTCTCCTATCCTATCCAAGAGAGGTGAAAATGTCAACCTGTGTAAGTCAATGTCTGCTGGTGSTGCTGCTTCTGGTCCTCCTCCAGAACCTCCCACTTCTGCTGGTGCTSGTGGTGCTGGCTTAGCAGAGGAGGAGGAGAAAGAAGAGCACAAAAAAGAAACCCAGAACTAACAAGAATACTTTGTCTCCCCCTTTGCCTCCTCTCCGCCTCCTGTCCTTGCCACCACCACTGCCACCTTCTTCTCCTCCTTCAAGAACAAAGAATGATGCTGCTGAAGAGGATGCAACAAACAAGAGGTTGATGGAAGAATGACAACTACTGCTGAAGAGTCATGGAAGTTCCCTTGCAGTCCAGATGGAAGAGAATGAAGAGAGCGTTCTTTCATTTGATTCATCCATTACTTCCTCTGGAATAGASCCAATCAGGTCCTTCCATGATGCCAAATCATATCTAGATGATGTTGAAAAGGTTCTGCTTAATGGTCCTGTTGAGCACAAAAGATAAAGCGCAGCAATGCTTACAAGATGGTGATTAGAAAGCCCCAAGAACTCTTAGTAGTACTGTATAGAGACAAATTATTAAACTGACTAGATTCTAGACAGGCTACAGTATATTATAAAACTGTAGGCCCAGGACAGCTCAAAGGCACGGCTCGCTGGTCCTTGGGGTATTTTTCAGGTCTATTGCAACTACTCTTGGTAGATATTATTCCTACTATAGATAAATTGTATACAAATAGTAGTATTGCTGTAGATAGACAAGGATGGATCTTGCGTTGGATCCTCCCCCTTCTGTATGTCTCAACTGTAGTTGTCAACTGTAGTTGAATTGGTCCAGTCGATTTGTGTTTATAGATTGAGTATCCACGGAAGAAGCTGGAAGCTGCTTCTGTAGGGGACTGGAATCCAAGCCTCTCCAGTATGATTCAATTTTGATAGGCCCAGAAGGAGTTGACTTACCAGCAAGCCACACTCCAGGGGATTGCTCCAGTCTAGTATTGTAACTAGTAGTACCCCTTGAATCCAGCTCACTTGCTGGAGACCAACGCTGTGCTGTTGTTGTTCCTTATTCAACAATAACGCCTCGGCTGATAGAATTTTGCACAAATTGATCTGCTGCTGCTAGTATTGTTAGTACTACTAGTTGCACTTGTCACCAGCAGATAAGAACAGTGTTGTTGTTGCTGGTCACTAGAAATAATTTACATTGCAATCTCATTCCGCATGCTTTGATTTTGAGCTGTGTAATAACAGCAACAGCATGGAAACACAGCTTGTGCTGTTGCATAATTGTCTGCTTGATTGGTTTCATGTGTCTACTAAAATGAGCAGTAAGCACATTGAATTGTTTCAATCTGCCATTGATAGCTTCCTGCTGGGCCCTGGCATTTGATTTCATCTTCCTTTTTTCACTGGTCAGTCCCAWCCCAGGAAGCTTGAATCTTGTGTCTTTAGCATAGCCACTATCAACATCAACAGCTTCTTCAGCATGTAAGCGTCTTCTTATTCCTTCAATGAATATTGCGGAATAATTAGTACTAGTACTTCTAACAAACGGACCATTGATCCAAACAATCCATCCAGTCTTCAAGCAGTCAGCTATTTCATACTTGAGTGCTGCTCCATTGAACTTGTAGGAATACATCTCTTTTGACCAAGGATGAGGCTCAGATACAGGGCAGTCTGTTCCATCCACGCTTATGAAGGAATCAGTTTGAATTGTCCCTCAAGAAGACTAATCAGGTCATTCTTCAGCTCTGCAATCCTCTCAACAAAGTACAAAGACCACTGTTGAAAGGTCTTTGGAGAAGGCCATCCAACAATAGAGCAGTGAATCTCAACAGTAGAATACTACTAGACCTTGAGGAAAACAAGCGCCCAGAGCAAATGCTTGGCTTTTCCCCCAGCAACAACTGGTCTGTGAGCAACAATTCTTTTCCACAAGTCTGCTACTTGTTCAGCTAAATCTCCAAAGCACTATTTGAATCTCATCTCTTTCTCATTGTTCCATATCCTATGCTCTGGCCAACAAAGAGCTTCCTCCTTTCCTAGTAGTAAGTCAAAGTCTTCTTTTGTTAGCGCCGCCATGGCGACAGTGGTGACACAGAGTCCAAGGAACAGTAATCACAACAAAAATAAGGTTCTGGTAGATGGATTTTGACCAGGAAACAACCTATGAGTTGACATCTAGTGTGATGAGACTTGTGGTTTTGATTATCATACTATGTTTGATGAAGGAGTAGTAGTAGAACAAGTGCTTAAAATGAGGAAAAATACCATGGTCAACAAGCAACAAGAAGTTGCTATTTTATAATGATTTTTGTAGCTTGCTATTCCCCGACCTTGTTCTCTACATACAAGTGCTATACTACTAGTGGTGTGTAGCAGCACTCTTACCAGTACCAGTTCCCAATGAGAGTGCTGTCCCATGAAAGGGGGGATTTCAATAAAAATTGTACCGTACATTAGGAAGAAAGATATCTTACCAGAAGTGGACAAAAAATGCTACCAGCAGTAGATTGCAGACTAAAAATGCTACCATATGGTAACGTTTTTTGTTGCAATCTGGTAGCATCTTTTGTCCACTTCTGGTAGGATATATCTTTCCTACCATAAAAAATTCTTAATATTTGATTTCCCTCAACCCTCTTCCCCAACTTCCAGTCCGTTGGACTCAATATTGCTCATGAGGGTATGAAATAATTTTTTGGAAGTCCGGTTTCCTTGCTGTAGAAGTTCGGTACCATAAGTTGGAAATCACTGAAAAGAATTAAGTACAGTTTCTGGCAAACGAACACACCAGTACAGGAAGATCTACGACGACGAACTCGAATGCAATTGGCAATTGGCAATTGGCAATTGGCACCACTCAAAAGACAATTTCACAGCAACCATGGACCAAACGAAATCGAAATATCCGGAATCAGCGAGTTATCAAACGCTAGAGAGCAATCTTCGACGACGWGAGCCAGCTTCGCAGCTGCGACGGCCAAAGCAGATACCTCTGTTCGGTCTTCTATTCGTTCTATCGATAGTTTCGACTTCTTTTAACATTCTGTATGCCCATTACACCRATGTCGATCTCAACCAAGCAGTCSMTACACGCAGCGTTAAAGCCGCAATGATATATTTTGTGGAGCAAAAGGATAACATAATTAAACTATCTAACAATTGGGGGATAGCAGAATCCAATCCAAAGGAACAACAACGGAAATTCTTTCGATACGACGAGGCGGGTCCCAAGCCCATTGCGGGGACGGCACGATCCCACGCTTTGCCAAATGCCGTCCCAGTTACCAACATTATTCCACGAGAATAYGCGGAGAATAAAGAGTATCATATTTCCCAGCGAAAAAACAGCACGCTGCCRCACTCTTTCATAAAACCCTTCCCAACTAGTAAGGCAGGGAAAAAACTGAAACAGAAACATCCGGAATTATACMGGGACTTGGGAAACTACAATTGGAACCACACTTATCACGACGACTATCGGACGCTCTATTTGTACAATCCATCTATCTTGCCCCTTCACCAAACCGTGCGTCGGGAACAGCAAGACAGCGACAAAGATCCTGATTGGTTGTCGGCAACTGACCTACAAGAATTAACTGGTGGAGATCTAAGAGTTCGTTACGTTGCTGTGTTCCGCGCCTACCTGGGATGCAACTGCTTTGGTCGAAAAAATGGTGATCGGACATTGATGACTGCGGGTGAACAAATTAGTTACATGGCCATAGCTTTGTTAGACGAGTCTCTCGACGTTATTGAGGGGACAGATGTATTGATCGACCTGAATGCATTTTATGGGGAAGGAATCAGAGGCTATTTCAGACAATTCGCAGAGGATTGTCGTATTTCTCTCCTCAAGGGCACAATCAATCTCATTTGCAACAGTCAAATGAAAAGAATTCGAATCAAACGAAAGAAATTCAGTGGAGAGGTAAAGCAAAAGCAGGAAAGTAATTATCCTCCTCAAACTCCACCCCCAGGATACGGAACGAAAGAGGGAATGGCCTTCCCATACATCTTTCCCAACATCCATGGCCATGGATTGGAGGTAACACTGTTGTCACACAACGTTAATATCCACGGAGGAAAGAATATGAACGTCTTTCGAGCCCCTGTGGAACCAGATTTCGGCGTAGTAAATGAAAAGCCGACAGAGTACGATTATTATCTCCAGACTTGGCCGGTACCCCACAAATATGAGAAACTCATTGTACCCGATGGGGGGCACGAGAACGACAGCAAAGTGCCGAAAAGAGCCAGAAGATCTGAAGAGCACGCGGTCACGCCTCTCGAAAACCTCCCGCAACCGACTTTCGACACTCCCGATGTTGCCCAYAATATTACACGCTGTGACGAYGAAAACAACAAGAAAGCTATGAACTGCACCGATCCCGTCGTAAATACCTTTTGGGAGAATGGAAAGGATCACGGTAATGCTTGTTGCGTGAAGATGCTTTTGCCTYACARAGACGTCAACGAACGAAATACGACGATAGAGGTCATGGTAGGGATTTCTCACAAAAAAACGAGTCAACGATCGAATTTTTGGCTTTTAGATATACACAAACGCTATGAAAACGTTGGGCWTGATCAGTTTGTCTCCCGCTTTGTAGCATACGATGCCAAGCCTCCTTTTGACATTGTTGCTCGGAGCGGTTGGTTYTGTTTGGGGTTTGCCGACGAGGGCGAAAGCGTTGGCCCTTTTGGAAATACACTAGCGGGGAAAAACAAACGCGYCAATCTCGATCTTTTTGACGAGCATTTCAACTGTCCAGTCATTCATTTCGTTAGTGGATTTGCAGAAGCAGTAGGCAATAGCTCCAGGGCTATCATTRGTTATGGCATTAATGATTGCCATCCAAGAATGTATTTTGTGGAAAAGGACGATATTTTTCAACTTTTGACGCAGTGATGCGAGCAAGATTATTTATTATGAAGATAATGAGAGTCGTTGGAAATAYTTTTTYTTAATGAAAAATGTGCTTTCACTTCATCCCTACAATTTGGGTGGAATATCACGAATTTTTTATTTCTAGTAAAGAGTGCAGAGAACCCCATTTTGTTTTATTCTTTTTRTGAGATCTAACGCAACCAGATACTTCAAGAATAGATATKAGCACYTCTTCAACCGCATTACCTCATCGAAAATGYYTTTTCGTCTTTTTAGGGTTSAAAAGCTTGTTCTCAGCACTGAAATTGATCTCGTCACRATTCTGAACTTCAGGTAGTAGCTGCTCGAAGCTCACACAGGTAGAGAAATTTCCAAGAGTGCTCYGCCGAGAGGAAAATTTCTTCTTCGGTTGCGTCGTCTTCGGTAATAGCAATACTTGCTCTGGCATACATCTTGTTGAATTGGAGAAACAGTTCTTGAATGAAAACGAGTTTTTCATTGTCTCATTGAATGCACGAAGTACGTACCCTATTGTTTTCCGGATTCTCAGGGGCTTTGAACCGGTAACRATCGAGTTTTCTWGGCGTTTTAATCGATCCTCGATTTTTTTTTCCTCCACTGTTTCCCGTTCGGTATTTGCTTTCACGGTAGCTATGTCTGCAGCTTCTTCCTCAATGGCACGAAAGTATTGCAGGAGGTCGTGCATGACCGTTGAGTACAATTTGGAATGTKCAGCTCTATAGGCGTTGCGCTTGGCACACCAATCTTCGTTATAGAGTTTACTTCTTTCAACAAAGTCAACAAAATCAACAATAKCGACTTCTTCTCCCTCTTCTTGCCCTCCATCGCTGAAAACTTCCTTGACAACATATCCATCCATCTTGTTGCACCCCTGACCGCATAGGTTCCAATTTCGAACCTTCGAGATTGCCGACGAAGGGTTTGGGACCTTCGGAATTGCCAARTAGTTGAAGATGCCATCGTCTATTGCTACTCGAAACGGATTGTCATCACTTCGTGCTACGCACGGAACMAAGCTCATGAATTGGTCAAGAATAGAGGAAGACGGAGGCGGTGATTCTTTTCGGATTCTTTTCCTCTTGAGAGATGCAGACAACGTAGTTGCCGTGCTGAAGGTGTCTGTATCGCAGATATCACGGTCCCTTTCGGACATGATCGGGGGTATGAAGATGAGGCGATCGACGAAATCATCGTCTTTTTCTGCTCGGAAGGGAGGCATTATTTTACACTTTCCACCGAAGTTTGATGTGTCGCGAATGATGAAAACAAGTCGAGATTCGGGATACCAATGTTACAAATACTGGATTGTGAACATGGAGTAGAGAGCCAGGGGAGGGAGAATAGAATTTTTTGTTCTTTTGATGGCTGTCATGACATCATGTTGCCGCAAAAGATCCTTCACAAATCACCGGTTTTTTTCGAAGTTTAGATTTTCTTAATCACGAGAAAATTTCGACGGTCGAAATTTTTATTTTTGATCGCGAGTGCGATCATAAATTGGCTCCCAGACCTGTTTCCAACAGACTCAATCTTCAGTTGGGACAAGAAGCGCGACCAGACTTGAAGTCCCAGGTTGGATTTGGAGCACGTTCTCGTTARGTGACCTGCGGCAAGATCGGTTTTATCTTAGTTTTACTACYTAGGRGAGTCCCGGGAAGTTGGCTTGGAATGCAATTAGTTTTTTGTTTTCTTTGAGGGGAAGAGAAATCATTTGAGGGATCACATCTTATTATTCGATCAAGTCGAATATTTTCGATTCGCGCCAACTTTTGAAAGAAAAAAAAAGAGACGAATATTCTTGGTTTTTGAGCAACTTTATGTGGTTCTTGTACATGGTTCAGGAACAACGTGCACGGTGTTGTACCGAGATTGCAACGGTTTGGATATGTAACAATCCATTTGTCCGCATTGCAAGACACAACGACGAAAATCAAAGATGAATGCATCGATCCCAAAACGCCGCAGACAGTCTTCAGCGAGGGTCGCCGCACTCATCCCTTATACATCCAGCGAAAACAAGCGCAAGGCAGATACGGACGAGGCGACACCATCCAATAAAGGCTCGAACAAGAGATCAAAAACAAGCTCCCCTTACCAAATCCGAATCGATCTTTTGAAGGAACTCTCTACTAAGGCATCATTGGCTGCAGGTGCTGTTGCAGACGCACGATGTGAATCCCGGGATGACTACATTATCATAGTGCCCAATCAAGCTATTGGGCATGCTCTCGAGCGAATCCCTGGCAAACTGGAGGAGTTAGGTTGTACTAAAGTGAATCAACTCACTGAAGAGCAACGCGATCGTGCGCTTTCGGAGTTATCCCAGGAGGATGTTGACAAGTTCTGCTACAGTCTTATAGTGCGATGTACTRTCTATAACATGACCAAGATAATCATCAGGGATCTGGAGGAATTCGGACATTGCATATACAGGAAAATTAACCGGTGGCTCTGCGAAGCGCGAGATTTTCAATGTAGCCGACCTCGTAGGATTTACTTCGACAAAGTGGTCCCTGTTATCTTTGCAATAGCTAGATTTCGAAGAAGGCTTCTGCTCTCAGGTGATCCCCTAAAGAATGCCATGATCTACCGCACAGTATACAACTTGATGCTAGGTGTGAGGAAATTTACTGATGRCGACTTGGGAATCGTGGATCCCTACACAAAAAAATATCTGCGACTTACTTTTCGCCACATTTTTAAAGATTGGATCACTGAAGAGAACAAACACTACGTTTCCAAAGATAGGGTAAACATTGAGCACAAAACATATTACGAAACATTAGAGAAAAAGAGAAAGAAAAAATATGAGCCGTCTCGTGTAGCTTCAGAAGAGAACGATAATCGCATGGACTGCAGTGATAAAACCGAAGATCAAATGACGCGAAAGAAAGCACCRTCAAAGCCTCCTCCTGCCACTTTCAAACAGAACGTAAATGCTGTGTGTCGTAGTATTGCACCTGGGAAAATAGCRCCGCAAAAGAGATCGGTCTCCGTTCGTAAGATACTGGTTCAAGAAAAAACTTCGCAGAAAAGGGTAGAATCCAAGTCATCTYCGTTCGCWTCAAATGATAATATGAAAAGAATGGGCCACAGCACTACGTCCTCRAACAAAGCAGCACTTAAAAAGGTAACGCCACAGCCGTCTTCCGCTGCTCTGAAAGAAAATGACATGGGCACATMTTGCAGTATTTTACCTCTGAACGGATCAGCGCAAAAAGAATCGGTCCGCTTTTCTGATAGGGTGGCAAAGGATGCATACTTACCTGCCGAAAGGAATTGGGGTTGGGGTCGGGAAAGACCCAGTTTTACTCCTATGCGATACTTTTGTAAAAAAACTCGAACTTGGAGAAGCAAAACTCCTATGGCCCATTGGATGTCTTCACAGTTGATGAGATATGTAACTAAAGCAGGATCATTTCATCACATATTTCGTTTTTCAAAAACGAATGTCCAGTTGTACATTCAGGATGAAGAAAACGATGAGCACTGTGATGTCATTGTTTCTGGAAATATGGATTTGAAAAATTTAGGTCAGCTCGTGGCATTTCTTACKGGGCACACAGAAGAATATTATCACCAATCAAACAAGGGAAAGTCAATGAAGAACGCCATGTTTACTGCTACTCTCAAGAGGGAGAAAATGGGTTTTGCGGACAAGATGAGGGCGAAGAACATGAGGGAGGAATGCGGCTGGGACGGTCTTTATGATAAGTCAGTGAAGATCGTGCAAATTTTTCAAGGGTATACCAAGGGACCTGAGACAGGAATTATTCAAAAATTTCGTGATTCACCACTCGTAGAACTGCAATGGATTGTCAAACTCCCCGAAAAAGTCAAAAGTTATAATATTKGCTGTGTTGGAATCGTGCCAAACGAGTGTATCCTTGGTAAAAGACCACCATTGCCTCGAGTAGTGAACGCGTCCGTTGGTGTGACAGAAAACAAAAAAGTGACGATGAACGGCAAATATATGTACGAGATCAATGAAATMTTGCGGGGGGATCGCAAAGTGAAAAAGACAATTTACCAGGGTCCTGTTGAAGATCTACCCTCAGACCCTTCATTGCGAGAATCTTTCATACRAAAACTGGCGGACAAAATTACTGCAAGTCCGGTTGTCAACCGGGAGGATGAGTGTACCGTGCCAGAAGGCGAGAAAGCTAGCGACGAAGAAATAAAAGCGTTCCAAGCCTACAATAAATGGTTGGGCTAAAATTGCGGTCGAGAATCAAAAAAGCAGCAAATACAACTAATGTTGTATGAAGTGGAGCAAAACAAATTATGTTAAAAACCAAGGTACTAATGTGGATGGAGCAACGGTCGAGACATAGGCTCATGAAAACGACACGGCCTCGGCGGTGGCTTCACTAGAATCATAGCCATTGTATAATACTGTATAGATAATTTTAATGAGTCAATGAATTGATCTATAATACAGAAATTATTTTGCCGTGTTCTTGCAACGYTTGCCGACAGTGTATGCGGAGGTTGTGGTAAATAATATTAATTACATCTGGTTAGTGTACAGCTGTAATTGCAAAAACKGTTCTATTGTGAGCCTTTCAATCATTCGAACGAAAGAGTCATCACCATCATATTTGCGAGCCCAGAAAGAATAGAAATCGTCTTCGATCACCACCAGCGAAGATATTGTCCTGCTTAGTGAGTGCARTTTGCCCATATATTTCCCCAAACTTTGTCCACGTTCCTCTTCTTTCAAAGMCAAAGCATTCTACAAAATGGTTTGAACCTCGTGGCCAAGAGAAAGTATTTTTCTCCCTTTTTTGAAAGAGTTGCCAGTGGACTTTTTATCCTCGTCAAGACACAGGCGGAGRATTTCTTCAGTGATCGAACAACGATATCGGGATGTTATACCTGTTTGCAAAAAGTCAATTTCTCGCTCGATCCGATTTCCCAGGCACGCGGGAAGGTTTCTAATATTTGCGGATTCCCGTCCTGGTGAGATCCAACCCATGTGTGTCAAGCGGCAGCTCTATTTCCTATGCAGTGCAAAGGGCCAAGGATTTTGGTTTTGCGTTCATAGCACCATCTTGTTTTGTATGTCGCCAGCTGGACAGCAAGTTTGGTTCGTCWGATTCCTAGCATTTTTCGGTATCTTGCAACCGGGAAGTTCACGATTGGCATTTGTTCGTCAAAGACAGTTTCTGCGAGGTGCAACAGTAAAGAAGTTTCTTTCCCCATYCACTGAGACAGAACAGCAGCACAGCATATCACAATCATGGATTATGCTTTTCTCRTGGTCGTCATTTATCTGGTTATTTGGTTGTCTTCAGTCCSGGATCGACTTGGTGATGCTTGGTGYTGTTGYCGTCACTGTTTGGTACCAAGCTTTGATGGATGCCGAGAACAATAGGCACTTCGGGAGCGGATGGTACCGTGTCGTCCCTCAATGCCACAAAAGGGTCTCTACTGTCCAGTACTTGGAGATCGTTGACGGAATCCCCCCTGGGGAGAGCCTCACCCAATACCTCGAGGGCGACAATCTCCTCGTTCCCCAGGTCCGTCCGGCTTGCGGCGATCGAGGAGACGTTGGACGATACGGAGGAATTTTCGTCGCCCGTAGGGGGAGACGACGATCGACCGTTGCTACGTTTGCTGTTCGGTTGGTTGCGATTCATAGGAAGGTTCAATGCACGCTTTCGRCAGGGATTGCAGGGTTGTTTCGGGGAACGGCTTTGTTGCTCGGATGGTGTCGTTGTCGTTTGTCGGGCTTGCGGTAACTGGTGCGAGGAAGCAATGGTGCTGCTCGAATCATCGGTGGATTCGGTCGCATTCGACGATAGAACGGACGGCTGCTGCTGTGTGGATTGTTGTTGCTGCCGGCGTTTTCGCTTTTCGTCCCGCTGCTTCCGCCGCTCCTCCAACCGCTGCTGCAGCTGACGGTAGCGCCTGCGGAGCGCCTCCATGGTGTCCTCTACCTCACGCTGCGCCGCTCGGGGATTGGCAACGATCCGCTCAACGTTACGCTGTACCGACGGGGGCAGGGCCGCCGGACCGGTGACAATGGTCCCCGAGAGGCGCCCCCCTTCTCCCACAACAACGAGGCTCCCGCCMGAMGCAAGCGGAACCCCCGTCATCAGAAACGATGTGGTGCTGGCACAATTGGCGGCCGCTGCCGCCAGGTCCCCCTGGATTAGAGAGCCAGACACGGCGTTGACCGCCGTTGTGGCCGCCGAGGTTTCCTGGTCCCTTTGGAGCTTGGCAAAGTACTTCTGCGCGTGCGATCGGATCTGGGCCGAGCTTCGGGTGGGGATCCGCTGCGCGACCTTCTTCCATTCCCTGCCGCACTCCGCAAGCCCCTCGAGAAAGGCCTGGTGCTCGTCTGCGGTCCACCGGCCGGAGGATTGGCCCTTTGGCTTCGAGGAAGTCGAGGCGGTGCTGTCGGATCCACTGCGCTTTCTCTTCTTGCTGCCGGGAGTCGAAGGGTGGCCGGTCTTGAGGTTTTTCTTGGATTGAAAGTTGTTGCTCGTTGTGGGTTGGGGTGCAACGCTGCTTGGCGAAGACATGGAACTCCTGTCCGCCTTGTTGGCGCCCACCGAGTGAATTGATTTTGCGGGAAGAGCGGGGCACATGGTAGGAGATGGTTTACCGGCTAGAGGTATGAGTCTGCTTGGTATTGATTGTTTGTCAGAGGGGCCTATCGCTTCTTTCTTGGTAGACGAAGACACTGGTTTTGATTCTAGCTTCGAGGGCAATGCTGATGGTAATTCACCAGATGACGCTTGTTTCGTGGCTGACACCTCTGGTTTAAGAGGTCGAATGGTTTCTACTTTTTGCGCCTKTGTCACAGGCGGTGTCGGGTGGACTACGATTGCGTCTTTTATTGTGCTAGACAGACTTTGGTTGTCACTYTGAAGTTTCAGATGAGGTCCCTTTTCGCTTGKCAGAGACGACACTATACTGTTCTYCTGAGTTGGTGAGGGAGMAATGTCGGTGTTGTTGTTTAGTGATTTGGATGGAGCAGATTCCTGTTGCAGTGGTAGCTGTTGTTGTCGGATGGATGGCAAGGGACGTTTGCCCTGCTTGTCCACAGCCTCCATAGTTTTGCTAGCAGGAGGACCGTCCTTTTTCAAAGCCAGGCGGGTTTCGTTTTCGGTTTTTGTTTCTACTGATGATGAGGACGACGATGGTGTCAAGGTGGGGGGTACTAGTGCTGATTCAGTCGTAGACGAGTTGGCGATAACATTGCCGCCAATGAAATCTCGAAGGACAACCACCGATGACAAATTGGTATCTTCTTTGTTGTTCCCTGTTGTGGAAGAGCACAATATGTTTCGTTTTCCTGCTGTGTTGTTCTGTGTGATGTGTTTTTTAACTGGCTCTGTSGAGGTCTTTTTAGTACTTAGTGATGCTGCTTCAGCATTATTTGTTTGAGTTTGGGGCGACGGGGAAATACGAATGAATGAATTACTTTTTGAAGCACTTTTTGTCAGCATACCTGAATTCGCGTTTTTCATTGGTGGATGTCGACTGGGCTGATCACCATCCGAACTGYCGTTCACGATTTGTGGTGTCATTCTGCTGTTCAAACCGSTGCGAACATGAGAAGAAGAATAAGTTGGAAYCATTTCACTTTGTTCTGTCTCGGAATTGCGTCTGGGTGATGTGTCATCACGCAATAAGACTGGTTGTACTGGAATGGAGGTTTCGTCATCGCTCTCTTTTCGCCTCTTTTGGGAATCGTGATTGGTTGCAACTGCGCGCGTTTTTGCGCATGAAGAATGCAAGTTCGAAGACGGCACCGTGTGCTGTTCTTTCTCCTCCAACGGCAATCGCTTGGTGGGGATCGATAGGGACTCAATTTCTTCGCGGGACCGCTCAAGCCGCGACAGTCGCAATCGTGAGTGGCCCAGGGATTTCACCGTCCATGTCACCAACGGTGGCATTATGGTCGTGATGGTTTCGTCGGCGTCTTTCGGGCAAAGAGCTACAACAAGGGTGGAATCGGACGACCCAAGCGGCGATGGTGGATTCGATGGATGCAGCGATGGGGAATTGGACGACGGCAGCAGCGGTGGCGACGAATGTAACAACTGCGGAGGTGTTGACTGCGTTGCAGTAGCCGACTTGCTGTCTCTTTTGTCTATGTTGTTGCAAGGAACCAATGTAGGAGAGTACATCGAAAAAGTGTGGAATAGTGTTGCATCGGAAGTCCGATGACGATTAGTTTCAAGTGGAAGTACGAAGATCGCGAGATTCAAATAGAAAATACAGTGCAACAACGAAACAAAAAGTAGTACCACAGAAAACTCGAGTAAAGTTGAGACGAAAACTAACAGTGCTGCTGTACGGTACAGCACTGCGTGTGGTCAAAGTGTGTCTCTCTCCCGATCTTTCAACTTCGACCTGGCCATCAAACTCAGTTCAGTCCCAACTTCGAGGGTTTGCTTCGACCAAATAGAACCGACTGTGACACTTCTTCGCGCCGTCTCGCCGGTACGTGGCCTAATTTAGTGTCAAGTTGCCTTGACACGCCGTGTCAACGCGCCGAACATGCAGGGCATGCATTCTGCGCTGAGGGACCCTGCGCGCGGCAGGGGAGAAGCATTCACGAGTGCAGCAATTCGGGACGGCAGCGAAAAAAGAAAAATAATACTTCCTGACTATATACTCATTGTAGATATGAAAGATACTACATTTGACATTTGCCTAACTTTGAACTATTGATGCAAAGTGCCAGTAGGTACGAGCGTTATACGCACCTTACGATTCAACGTCCAAGTACGTACGCACAGTACATCGTATTATGACCCCTGCTGTAATACATTTAGTACGGTATACTTTTACCCTACTTCGTACAGTACATCATAAGCATAAGAGTACAAGTACTTGTAGCAGTAGAGTTTCGTACTCGAGCAGCACAACAAATTGTATTTGTACCGTACGTATGCTACGGTTAAACTGTAACGGTACTACGAAGTAATGTACCTGGTAAATAAATAGAATAACGTGATCGCCGAATAAGAAACAAATTTGAAACCTACAGTAGTCATCATTAGTACGTACTCGTACTCTACGTTACTGTACTGGTGAAATACAGCACAGAAGGACGCTGTGTAAGAATTTTTTTTTAAATCACAATCTTTGTCAGTTTGTATTGCAGTGCCTAGTCCGTGGGAGACTATTGTTCTTCTTCATGAATAAACCGCTTCAACCTTGCCAAATTCTAAAATAATGATAAATAATAAGCCGTCAATGACCCATGTCTTCGAATCAAAATAGCCTATATACAAAATGAAGAAGAACAAAGAATACGGTTAAATGGTGTGTAACGAATAAACAGATTGCTGCTTAAAGTTCGATAGTATTTTACCGATTTTTTGGCGAAATCTGTCCTGCTTTGAGTACTATAAACTCAACAACGTAACTGCCAGCTCGCTAGTTTTTTGTTTTTGGTATCTGAGCATATTATGACCACGTACAACGGTACGTATGAAGTGGATCCCCGATAGATGCGTATTAAATTAGAGTAACATGTTAACGTCTTTTAACCGTTGTAGATCGCTATTGACATTTTTGGAACTTCATCCCATTCGAATCTCATTCGTTGCAATAGAAACGGATTTCTGTGAAATAGTCGTCTCACGTTACTGCTATCGCGAAAAAGTCGGGAAAAAAGTCGCAGAAACATATTCCTACCGTACCTTTTTTTTTTTCGTACAACATTATTTTGAGGTGATGAATAAAAATTAATCAAACCTAATTCCTACACCACGATGGGTTTAATACAACGATTAAAATGCGAGAAGAAGTCAGATGGAGAGCACACTGCTAGCACTGCTACACTAACCAACGACGGCGAGGTCGTGAAAGACTCGGGGAAGAAAAAGAAGGGAAAGAAGACGAAGATTCGTTCAATGAAAGTTTCTAAAAAGAAAGTGGAGGATGGCGACCTATTAACCGGATTAGATGATACAAACGTTCCAGAAGAATACTGGGAAGAGGCAGTAGTCACCAAAATTCCTACTGAGCATCGGGATCTGCTCGCGGAAAACTTGTTCTGCCACATATGGAAGACTCAAGGAAAATCGGTAGCATTGAAACTGCTAGGAGACTACGAACAAGAAAACTTGAGCAAAACTGCGAACGAAAGATTCCGCAACGGCTGTCAAAAATGGAGACAAGATGATTACGAAGGAGCTGGCTGGGAACTAGAGCGTTCGCTCATCATTCGAGAAGCCCAACGAAATCATCAAACTTTGGTCAACGTGCGATATCTGAAACAATACAAAGAAGAGGGCGACGAAAACCAAGTTAGCAAACAAGTGAGTCGCGAAAAGGAGATTGACGAAATAGTGCAAAACTATGCGAACGCCGACCCTACCGACGGAAAAGCACTTGCAAAGGAACGAGAAGATGCGATGGATCCACCCCCTAACGGAAATATGTTCCGTGTCAATACCCTGAGCCCAAGCCCCACGGAATCAACTGCTCAACTCTACTACGCTCTGGGAATGGTCCGGATGTCGCAAGAAGACCACGTTGATGCGCTGATGGAGTTTCGACGAGCCATTCAGGTTGCCGCTCTTGGTTTAGGGGTCGCTCACGATTTGACCAAGGCTGCGACATACATGATCCGAGCAGCCCTGTTGACAATGGGTTACCGATCTCACGAAATCCGAAAGTATCTGGCACAACTCAAGAGCAATATTTATCACGARATCGAGGCGGATGTTTTRTGTGAGTCGGGAAACTTTGATCAAGCCCTGGAAGAATATGCCGACCTGAATTTCCTCCATGATCCAGACAGTCAAGTCCAGGCACGCATTCAAACGAAGATTGCTTCCATTTTCGAGGCACGGGGGGATTACATCAAGGCAATTCAGATTTGGGCGGACATTTTGGTCCTGTACGACGATACTCCCTCTGTAGGCATTCACCATCCATTGGCCAGGCAGGTAGTGTCGAGGATTGTTGAGGGAAAGAGGTTGCTTCACACGCCCTACTAAGGATGTGTTCTGATTACCGCTAAAATACAAATGAAAACAATGCGGAGCCTCTGTCCTCTAGAAGGGGATTCGATACCGACAGAGGACTAYCAGTTGTTTGGTGCAAGTTTTGCATCCGAAACAATCATCGTTACTATTTGTATTTAATACTTTATAAGAGTTCAAGTTATCATGTTCTCCATTGMCACCTATCGTGACTTGGCCATCGCAATCAAAGCTTCGAAAAACAGCAGTTGTATTTGTAACGTTCTACAATGAAGTCATCTTTGTTGTRAAAAAGACTCGATTCCCAATGGATCCGTGACCAGCTTTCTCGACAGATTCTCAAGCTTTCCAATTTGAGCAGAAATCTTTTCCCCATTTTGTCGGTTCATGCTGCACAAACTACCTGTTTCTCCAAACCTGCCACCTTGTGAATTTATCCGTTATGGGTTTGCTGTGCCTTACTGCATGCACTGTCTCGAGCTTTGATTCATGTAAATATCGCTGTAGTCACCGATCTCGGTTATTTTCGTCGTGTTGGTCGCTGCTATCATCGTAATTTTGCAGACCTAAACTGTAGTTGTCGCCTTTCTCGCCGATAGCATCACTCCTCGCCGAGCTGTCTTGTTCGGCCGTAAATTCTGTAGCCGCTGCTTCGGAGGGCATCGAATACAAAGTCTCGATGCCACTACTAGTAGTCAAATTATTTTGATCCGGAAAGTTGACAGCGTAACCAGAAGTTTCTTCGTTGGTTTCGTACCCGTTGCTGCTGCTTTGCATTGTTTCGCGCTGTAACGGATCCAAAGTACTGTCTGTTGGCGTTTCTGCCTCTGGAAATTTCAAGGCATAAAGTGGATCTGTATCGGAGACGCCGTATTGTTCGGGACCCTTCGTGTCGCTTGCATTGTCAATCGCTTCGATCGAAACCGAACCAAATCCATCGATGCTGATTGACTCATCGACTTCGATGTCAAACCGGTCGATGTTTTCCATTATTTCGGGTGGCACAAAATCGGTGGCCTCTGACTGTATCGAGTCCAAAGTATCCTTGATTGTTTCGAGCCGCCCCGAGTCTACCACCATGTCCATGGAATTCGACGCCTCGATCTCTTGTGTTGTTTCCAGCTGTACAGATTCCAGCACATCACTGGTATTTGGCTCCCCGACTCCCTCTTCTGTTGTTTCCAGTTGTACAGATTGCAGGACATCACTGGTATTTGGCTCCTGGATTCCCTCTTCCGTTGCGAAAAGCCGAACCGAGTCGACTGCATTGCTGGTAGCTAGGTCTTCGGCATCGTTCTTGCTACCGAGAAAGTCGAACCAACCACCCGAATCATTCTCCTCCTCGACCTCGGAATTCGTTCTGGCGGCCCTAGCTGTCACAACGATGGTGGCAACCGCAAAGAAAACCTCCACGGCGACCACCGCCACCCCACCCGAAAGCAGCCAGTTTTTGACCGCCGTCCAGACCCCGAATCCCACCAATCCGTTGACCGCCGCATCGGTAGCCACTCCTACCGCGGCGGTGGCTACCGCATCCCCGGCCGAGGCCAGCATCTCTCCGGTGCCCGTCAACAGGGCATCGGTCGCTTCTCCGAGGGCAGCCGACGACGACGATGCCAGGGCGTCGCCCGCCGAGACAAGGGCGTCCGCGGCCGCACCGGCAAGCTCCGAGGCGGCACCGCCCACGGAAGAAACCAGGGCATCCGCGGCGGCAGAAGAGGCCCCGGCGATCTCCGCTGCGGAACCCCCCGCGGCAGCAGAAGCGGC